TAGATACATGTGGTAGAGGCACAGTTAGGTTAGAATCTGTTTCGATTGGCGATGACCTTGAGGATATGCATATCCAAGAATCACCATCATTTCGAGGACCCGAACATGGCTCGTGGTTATATGAAATTGGGGTGTGTTATCTCTTAGAAGCAATTCATAGTAATGAGAATATATCTTTTCAACTTAAATTTATTATTGTTACCTTTGAGGTTGATCTTTCATCTTCTTCTTCTGCTCCACAACCCATTTATTTACCTATCCTCCTCTTTTCATTCACCATCTCCGCCCCTGGGAAAAAAAAAAGAATAGTACTAATTTGATTGCATAATGCGAGAATTATCCATAATTTTTTAAGTTATTTATTATAGATACCAGCTCAGATTGCTCTGGTTACAGGTGTTGTAGCTGTTAAAGATGACTAGGTAAAGTTATTAGACTATGGCTCTCAATAATTATAAAGCTTCTTGTTTCCAAGTCAAAACATATGGTCTTATCATTGACTTAATATAGGTTTTCGATAATATACTTTACAACCTCTTTTTCTATTTCTGAATATGCAATGTTATGATTGGCTTAATTTAGGTTTTCTGTGATATATTCCTCATGATAGATTTAATTTCCCTGGAACTGTTTGTCTTAATAAAGATATGTCAAAGTTAGGCTGTATAGTTATCTCAAAAGACGTTAAACTTTCCATAGTTAGACTATAGAAAAATATATTTAAGCTTCCAATATCAGGATAAAGAAAATAAGCAAAACTTTTGGTGGTGTTTGTAAGTTGCTTTAAATCAGTTTCAGTAGAGTGATGATTGATGCTTCTTCACTCCATATGATGACAGGGGGTAATGGCTCTTGTCCACTAGCCAAGTGTTGGCAATTAGCCACCTTATGGCTGGCTTGTGGTGACTTAGACAAGTGGAGTCTTATTTGAGTCTTTAAAATCTATTGAGTTGCTTTGGTCAGTATTTTTTGGGCAATTTTTGTATAGAATGATTTTAATACGTCATATCTTTTCTTTAAAATGGTATGTCAACATCCTAGAAAAACTTTTGATTATCCATAATATCCCATTAAAAGTTTGACTCACATAAATATGCTTTCTATCCTTTCAAAAAGTCTGTACATCTCACCCAACAGTCACATTTCTTTTGACTTGAAGATAAAAAATTTTAATTTTCTTGTACACCTTTAAATAATTCTTTACAGTCATCTATATTATTACTTCTTATTATTCATAAAATTCAGTGAACTAAGAAAACCCAGAAGTTTTCATATATCTGTAACGTTTATTTTTTAGAATATGGATAGTTCTAATAGTTGTGAGATAACAGGATATAAAGTTGGAAAAAGCTAAAATAAAAGCACGCTAACAATTCTAGAGCTTCTGTTGCTCTGCTCAAGTGTTCATATACTTCATTTTGTATTTTCCCAGAGTGTTCACTTACATCCTTGTTGATATTAAATTCATATTCCTGAATGTCACTGAACTAGCAGTTGATTCCATGTTTGTAGAACATATTTCCATTGGCATACGATTCTGAATTTCGTTGATTTTTCTGTAGTGAACAAAAAGTGAATGCTTTTTAAAAATTGATGTATTTATTTTAATAGGCATTTGAGGAACTATTGGAGAGCATGAGATTATGGTGGTGGAATTTGGTGAGAGTCTTCCAATTGGCGTTGGATTTTGAATGTTGCTTCTCAGGGAACGCCAAATGGAGGACTGAAAGGCTTCTACACGTAGGTACTTTGATCTATCTTTCTTGGACATACTTTTAGTTCTTTGCTCTTGAATTTTTTGGGTTTTTAATTTAAGCTACTTTTTGCTGTCATTTGATGGTTTGACAAAAAAGTTCATATCTCTGCATAGTTTTGGAAATAGCCAAGCTGCAAATTTTTTTTCTTCAATTATTGGCTGTGATAATGGAAATTTGAAATAGATTTTTTACTATAAACAATGACAGCCTCGTGAATTTTGAATGCTAGTGGCTTGTGCAGGTATGTTACCTTAGTCTGGCACAGTGCTGGAACCACTCAAGGACCATGTGTGCCCACCCTCAATTCTTTTGCTTTACCATTACGTCAAGGATCAAAATATCGTTTCGGTGCATTGTTTTGGTCACCTACGAAACGGAAATGTTTCGACGTGTTTCGAAAACGTTTCGACCCGTTTCGGAAACATAATGAAAAAAATAAAAAATTTTAGAATTATTTTTTAAAACATTGATGGAAATATATCAAAATATCTTGAAACATTCCAAAATAATTGTGCAAATGTATTGAAATATTATAATACATTTAAAAATATTATGGAATACCTCGAAATATCAGAATTTTGATTCTGTCACTGTTTCGTTTCGGTCTCCTTGAAAATGGAAACGTTTCGGACGTTTCGACCGTTTTGAAACGATATTTTGATTCTTGCATAACGTATTATATTTTATGAAGTATATCTAACTATGTTCATCCTATTATCTTGAAAATTTTAGTGGGATCTAATTTGGGAACTTAATACAATATAGCCATTGGATTAGAAGTGAACTCCATCAAACATTGGAACTCGCAATTAATCCAACTGTTGTATTGAATCAAGTCTTTGATTAGGTCTCTATAGTATCACTCTTTTTTTATCATATCAGTTAGTACACACATACCTAAATGGTTAACAGTGGACACGCTTCGGACGTATTTGGATTAGTTTGGACATATTGGGTTCATTTTAAAATCTTTTGATCAACTTGGCCATTTTATTATTGATGTGCACTTTAGCATTGAGTTTAAAAACTAATTGAGATTTGTGATCTTGCGCACAAAATTTCAAGATAAAAAGGTACATGGTATATCATTTAGTGTACACAAATGTGATTTTGACATAAATTTTACTAGTTATTAATAATGAAGTCATTAGACAATGTTATCAAATAATGAAAATTTATCAGGTTAGTCGTAACTAACTACAATTAACCTCATTTTCAATAAAAACATATAATTAATCTTGTTTTTGTTGTGCACAAATATGCATAAAATTTTTAAGGATCATTGATGAAATAAATAGTATAAATGTGTCATTTTTTTATCGATTAGGATTAAACGTATTAGAGTGCCCATCTAAGAAATTTTTTTTTTACTCCACCACCGTGGACATTTTGGAAAAAATTGGTTTGGAATTTCTTAGTCCTTTTGTTTTAGAGAAGAAATTGTACTTTGTGTTATTATATGTTCATTTTATCATCGTTTAACCTTCTGTGGGAAGGGACAATTCTGGAATGGTTTTGAAATTAGCTTGGTCAATTTTAATATTCCAAGACATAATGGGGAGAAGGAGAATAAGGTAGTCACAGTTTTCCTTGGCCGATGCTTCGGGCGAACTTGCTTGTAAGGTGTTGTCAATTTCTTCTCCCTCTCTCTAGGATTTTGCATATTATTTTGTAATTTGGTGGGAAAATTGAAATGATATTACAACGAATATGAACAATAGGGTGCTTTTTGAGAAAATTGATGAATAAGACATATTTGTTCTCTTGGCTTCTTGGTTGAATATTTCATAACATTATTTTATCTCTTAAACCAGTTAAGTCTATCTTGGTATCTGATTAAATTCAAGCTCTTTTGAATTTGAAACTTGGTTGTACAAGAGGCAATTTTTCTGTCGTTTTTGATGTGTTTTTTTTTACCGATTTGACAGTTGACTCAAAACAAAGTTTGGACTGGGAGTGTTTCCATTCAAGTGGTCTCACTTCTCCTCTCTCATTACTACATCATAATTTTGTATGTAAATTTATATTAATATGACAAAAACTCACCATATTCTTTACAAAAAAGTAAAGACATTTTGCTTTCTTTTTTCATTTGACTTCAAGGGACTTTGTCCTATATAGCCAATCACTTCGATTTTCTTGAAGAGTAGAAATTTTGGTGTTTGATCTTAATATAGTTTCTTGTATAGGTTGGATGCCCTCCAAGTTTTGGATAAATAAAATATTAGTGATTACAGAATGTAGTAAGAAGTTCAATTGAATATTTAAGCATTATATATTAATTCGTTTAACGGAGAGTGAAACAACGAATAGTAAAATCTTTAATGTAACAAGTTTAAATGAAGAATTGAAAAAAAAAAAAATTCAAAAAATTTGAAACAAGTAAAAGAAATAAAAAGAATGTTAGCAAAATGAACATAAAACAAAGATTTTAATTGATGGGTTATGGGCTCATGGTTAATCTTATCATATTAAAAGTAAAAAAACATTATCTGAACTTTCAATGCTACATCATGCTAAATGTGGCTTAATGTATAGCTTTGTTGCAAACACACTGGTCAAACACATAGTTGATATAAGATGAGACTCTACTAAGGTATAATCAACTATACCCATAGATAAGCAATTATACACATAATAATACACCCAAACAAACACACACAAACACAAACATACATTCACAGATACACTAAAATACACAGACACACACTAATACATCAAAACATACACATAAACACGCACCCATTACCACACCAATATACGTGTATTAGTGTGCGCATTTTTGTGTATTAGTGGGTGCTTGTGTCTGTGTTTGACATAATATAATAGTGTATGCGTGTGTTATGGTCTAAAAGTATACGTGTCTTTTTTGGTAAATTAGTGTGTTTTTTGGTATATTAATGTGTCTACTATATTATTATATATATTTTTTGGTGTATGAGTATTTGTGTGCATAAATATGTGCATGTTTTGTGTATTAATGTGAGTTTGATGTATTAGTGTATGTGGATTTTGTTGTACAAGTGTACTTATATATATATATATATATATATATATTTTTTTTTTTTTGGTGTATTACTATAAATTTTTTTTGGTATATTACTATGTTTTTCTTTGTATAATGTGTGTTTTTTGAAGTATTATTACATGTATTTTGGTGTATGTATGTTTTGGTGTATTAGAATATGTGTGCATGTGTTTTGGTGTATTAGTATCTATTTTTTTTTAATATTAGAGTGTGTTTTTTGTGTATGAGTTTATTTGAGACCTGTGCGTGAAGGCACAGTACAATGTGGATGATTTTGTGGGGGATGTTAATGACTGTTGGATGAGTTTATTTAAGACCGTCAGATGAACTTATTGAAAATTTTCATGTTTTATATTATAAATGTGTGTGTTTTCTAGGCGTAGTAGTGTGTGTGGTGTGTTCGTTTTAGTGTATTAGTGTGTGTGTTCGGCGTGTAGGAGTGTATGTGTGTGTGTGTGTTTTGGTGGATTTGTAAGTGTGATTATATGTTTGATGTATTAGTATGAGTGTTTTGATGTATAATGTATTAATGTGTCTACAATGTACTAGCGTGTGAGTGCATGTTTTTGGTGTATGTGTGTGTGCTTTGATACATTAGTGAGGATGTATGTGTTTTCTTGATGTAGTAGTGTGTATATGTGCTTTTTTTTTTTTTTGGGTGTATATAGTGTTTTGGTAGATAAAAGTGTGTGTGCCTTTTTTGGTGTATTAGTGTGTTTAACATTGTGTGTATGTGTGTGCTTTAGTGTACTAGCGTGTTTGTTTTTTTGCATATTAGCACATTTGTGTGTTTTGACATATTAGTGTGTATGTGTGTGTTTTCACATATTAATGTGTACATTTTGTTATAAGATAAAAGTAAAATTAAGAAGCTTTTAACATAGAAATGTTTTTAGAGAAGTAAAAGTTTCTCAATTTATTCTGCAAATGATATTTGACATGTTCTCCAATATGCCATGCTTAAAGTGTATCATTGAAGTGGGAGAATTAGGTTTTGGATTGGGAAAGGAAAATTTTCCCAATTGGGATGGAGATCATGCAAGTCAAAATCTGCTTTGGATCAGCGGTGATCATGTATGCTCCTTCATAAATTGCGTTGCTCCAACAAAATTATGGGGGCACACACAATGGTTTTTACATCCTATAATGAGTATATCAGCTGACTAGAAACCAAAAATAATTTCTTTAATGGACGATGAAGTACATAATTATGCACCAATATAGACGTAAGTCAACATACATATTACGAGCATGCCCATTTGATTTGAAGATCTTGATATTACACTATGTTTGTATCCATTTTGGATTTATCATGTATTTGGGCAGATAGACTATCTTCTTACAGCTTCACCCCTTGAAAATCAGAAGGAAAATGTTGTTCATTTTGCTGAGAGGGTAAGCATATGCTAGTAAATATATTTCACATTATCAATTGTCAAGTTAAATGTAAATATTATGAGATGTCTCCTACTTATTTTGTTGGTTGTTTTATATACATGATATTCTACATGGTTGATGTTGAACAACATATAAATTACAACAATGTGAATGTGTTTTACGGATAACTTCTTTTAGATCATGTTACACTTTTGCCCATTAACGTTATAAATTATGATTTTATTTTATTCTTTATTTTATTTTTCAAATATCTTAAATGTCACTTTCTTGTTTGTGAATTTAGTTTTTGCTCTTTCTACAATGGTAATTCTAAACAAAACTTCTAATTCAAGAGCTACGGGGCCTACTTGCAAGAACCTATGTTTGATACTCCCAGATACATGACATTATATGAAATCAAGTTTGGCAACCAACACTTGTTCTACATTGTGTTCTATCAAACGCCTTAGAATTGGACAAAACTCCCTATAATCTGTTTTTTGCATGTTTTGATGTTAGTTCTTCTTTGTAGTCTTCAAGTGATTTCTTTATTCTTTGTTGTTTTCATTGTATTCTTGAAGTGTTTCCTTCTTCTTTATTTGTAGTCTTTTTTTTCATCTTCTTTGTAGTCTTCTCTTTCTTCATCTTCTTATTTGTAGTTTGGTTCTTGTTCTTCTTCTAATTTGTAGTCCTCTTCTACTTTTACTAATTTGGAGTCTTCTTCTAATTTGAAGTCTACAATAAAAAAAAAAAAGAATAAGAATGAGGTTCAAAGGATCGGTCAATACCGAAATATGTTCGAGTCGTATTCGACTCAGCACCTTTTGAGGCGATATCGTTACACGACTTATAAATCAAGAGTCTTGCATGACTTGACCGAGTTCTCAGTGTCTTCTCCGACTCAATTTCAAGTCGTTGAGTTATTGTCAAGAAGAAGAAAAAGAAAGAAAGAAGAAGACTACAACAAAGAAGAAGACCACAACCAAAAAAAAAAAAGAAAGAAGAAGGCTACAAATAAAAATAAGAATGCTACAAAGAAGAAATACAATATTGCAAAAAAGAAAAAGAAGACGAAGACTACAAAGAAGAATAAGAAGACTACAAAGAAGAATAAGACTACTACAAGAAGAAGAAGAAGACGACTACAAAGAAAAGAGATGACTACAAAGAAGAAGAAAATTATAAAGCAAGAAAAGAAGAAAACAAAGATGAGGAACTCTACAAAGAAGAAACAGAAGAAGACGACGACAATGAAGACTACAAATAGGAAGAAGAAGAAAAAAAGAAGACCACAAAGAACAAGGAGAAGAGTACAAAGAGAAGAAAAAAAGGAAGACTATAAAAAAGAAGCAGAAGAAGAATACTACAAAGAAAAAAAACTACAAAGAATAAAGAAGAAGCGGAAGATTACAAAGAAGTAGAAGATGAAGAAGAAGAAAGGAATGTAAAGAAGCGGACTACAAAAAAGAAAAAGACTAGAAGTAGAAAAAGAAAAAGAAGCAAACTTCAACGAAGAAGAAGACTACAAACAAGAAAAAGAAGACTGTATAAATGAACAATAAAAAGAAGAAGAAGAAGAAGAAAAAGAATGCAAAGAAGGAGAGAAAGAACACGAAGAAGAACACTACAAAAAGAAGAAGAAGAAGAATGCGACTACAAAGAATAAGAAAAAGAAGAGATGAAGAAGAAAGAGTGGAATGCAAAAAAGAATTAGAAGAGTATAAATAAGAAAGAACAACACAACAAATAAAAAACATACTACAAAGAAGAATGAGAAGAAGTAGACTACTACGAAAAAAAATTACAAAGAAGAAGAAAGAGACTATTGAGAAGAAAAATATTACAAATAAGAAAAAGAAGAAAAATATGAGAAGAACAAAAGAAGAAGACTAAAAAGACGAAGAAGAATAAGACGACAAAGAAGAAAGAGGAAAACGATGACTAGAAAGAAGACCCTAAAGGAGGAGAAGACAACAAATACGAGGACTACAAAAATGAACAAAACGAAAAAGTTGAAGAAGAAAGATTCAAATGCAAAGACTAAAAAGAACAAGAATAATAATAATAATAACATGACTCTAAAGAAGAGGAAGGCCACCAAGAAAATGAAATACAAGAAAAAGTAGAAGAAATAGAAGTTGAAGACTACAAAGAAGAAAAAGAGGAATAAGAAGAACAAAACTATAAAGAAGAGCCAAACATTATTTAGGCAATGGCGACCAACACTTTAGTCACTGGAAAAATAGCTAATCAGTTGAAGAATTCTCAATCATGCCAAAATCTTTCAATAAAGAAAGTAGCTAGGTTGTTTTACGCTTTCTAAATGAGCTTACTCATAAAGGAGGCCTTGGTGCAAGTAGTCTCCGTGGCTATACTAAATAAAATAGCCTAGGGTGCAACTCTACTAGTTTTTTTCGGGTTCTTTGCTAGCCAGCCACCTTTTAAACAACCATCTCGTAACTATCCATTCTTTCACAAGTCAAACCAATATGCTTCTTCATTTTTGTAGTCTTATTTCCTCATCTTTATTGCAGTCTTATTATTCTCTTCCTTTTTGTAGTATTCTTCTTATTTTTTGTATTCGTCGTCTTTATTTGTTGTTGTGTTCTTAATCTTATTTGTATTCTTCTTCTTTATGGTCGTCTTGTCGCTATAGTTTTCTTGTTTTCCTTCAAATTTTTTGGAGTTGTCGTTGTCTTTTTTTTTCTTCTTCTTTGTAGTCATCTTGTTCTTTTTAATCATTTCTGCTTTTTTTTTTCGTTGTAGTTTTCTTCTTTGTTGTCTTTGTCTTCTTAGTCTTTGCATTGCTTTCTTCTTCTTTATAGTCTTATTTTTCTTTATCCTTAGTAGTCTTTTTTTTTTCTCTTCTTTATAGTTTTCTTTTTATTCTTCATCCTCTTTCTTCCTTGTATTCTTATTCTTCTTTGTAGTCCTTTTCTTCTTTTTCTTTATAGTCTTTTTATTTGGAGTATTTTTTTCTTCTCTCTAGCTTTATTTGTTTTTTATTGTACTATTCTTTTTCTTTTTCTTTTTCTTTGGGTTAGTCTTCTTCGTCTTCATCTTCTTTTTTGTGGTTGTCTTCTTGTTCTTCTTTGTGTTGTCTTCTTTATAGACTTCTTGTTCTTCGTATTTGTAGTATTTTTCTTATTTGTTGTTTTATTTGTAATCGTTGTCTTCTTTTTCTTTGTAGTTTTTTTCTTCTTTTTCTCTGTGGTTTTCTACTTCTCTGTTTTTTTGTTGTATTCTTCTTTGTAGTTTTCTTCGTCTTTTTTTGTAATTTTGTTGTTCTTCTTCTTTGTAGTTTTTTTTTGTATTTTTTTGTTGTCTTCTTCTACATGTTCTTCATAATCTTCTTCTTTGAAACCTTCTTTTTCTTTGTAATTTTTTTCTTCTCGGTAGACTTTTTCTTCTTCTTACTAGTCTTTTTCATCTTATTTTGTGTTTGTCTTCTTTGTATTTTTAGTTGTCTTATCGCTTCTTCTTTGTAAGTCCTCTTTTTGTTGTTAGTCTTTGTTTCTCGTCTTCTTATTTGTAGTCTTTTTTTTTTTTTGTTTGTATTCTTTTTTTTTTTGTAGTCTTCTTGTTTGTAGTTTTCTTCTTTTTCTTTTTCATCTTATTAGTCATCTTCTTTGTGTTTTTGTCTTACTTTTCTTATTTTTTAAAGTGTTTTTCTTCGTAGTTGTCTTATTTTTCTTCTTTGTAGTCATTTTCATCTTATTGGTCGTCGTTTCTTCTTCTTCTTTGTTGTAATTCTTTTTCATTGTAGTCTTCTTTTCATTTTCTTCTTTTTTGTGGTCTTCTTCTTTGTAGTCTTCTTCGTTGTTGTCTTCTTAATCTTTATAGTCGTCTTATTCTCCTTTTTTTCTTCTGCTTTGTGGTATTCTTTGTGGTTGTCGTCTTCGTCGCCTTCTTTTTTGTACCCCCGTTCTCATTCTTGTTCTTTGTTTTTTTTTTTTGTCATTCTATTATTCTTTACATTCTTCTTGTCTTTTTTGTCTTCTTATTTTTCTTTTTTGCAATCTTCTTGTTCTTTGTGGTCTTAGTTGTAGTCTGCTTTTTTATTGTCATCATCTTCTTCTTTTGTCTTTGTAGTCTTCTTCCTGCGCTTATAGTTTTCTTCATCATCTTTTTTTGTCGTCGCCTTCTTTTACTCATTCTTTGTTGTGTTTATTTATTTATTTATGGTCTTTTTCATCTTCTTTATAGTCGTCGTCTTCTCCTTGGTGGTCTTTTTCTACTTATTTTTTATGTTTTTTTTCTTCTACTCATTCTTTGTAGTCTTTTTCATCTTCTTCTTCTTCTTCGATTGGATGCTCTAGTGGTGGGTTCCTACTTGATGGCAACCACTTTAGTACAAAAAATGCTAAATGTTAGGTCCTTACTAAGTTCTACCCCTCCAAACCCCATTAATGGGGGAGTAAACTGAACGTTTCTCTTTTGGAGTAGGTTTTTTATGAATAAAAAATAAGCTCATTGTGTCATACTTGTATCAATACGACTCCGACACCAATACGTTATGTGAGGCATTATTTTCTTTGATACCCTATGTTGACAGATTCCCAGCATGATAAAAATGTGTTTTCCTTGTGACAACTCGATCAATCAACTTTTTGTGATTATTCTCTAGCTTAAACTTTGGCATTTATTGGATTCTTTCCTTCTTACCATGAATTGTGTCTAAATGGTATGGTTGGCAAGTTGATATTGTCATTGATAGCCAAACATGTGATCGTTTGACTTTCGGTTATCAATGCATGGTAGTTTCCAGGGCAGCTCCACACCTATGGCAGTTGCTAGGGTCATCTGTAATGTTCCTAGTTTCTCTCATGTTACTGGACACAATTCTATCATGTTTAACGAGCCACGAAAAATGCCCAAGTTTTTGAGGAATTTTTAAGAAATGAATCTTTTCTTCTCCCTAGAGCTTCGCCCACATAAATGTTTTAACAAATGATAATATTGTCTGTTGTTTGTCTACCAGGTATGAAGCTGCTCTGATTTGAACTTGTGAGACTACTTAACAAAGGTCTTAATCTAGCAACCAGGAGTTTAGACAGTATTTCATAGCTCACATGCCCAAATTTATTGTTCTAAATTTTGTGATATGAGCCGGTTGGCTGTGGATTGATATTTTTTATTGATAATCCAAATATGAATTCAAATCTTTTATATTTTATTTAATGAATTTGGATTTGAACGTAT